ATTGCACAGTTACAAACAGGAAAAAAGAATTTTCTTCTGGCCATCAAACACCTGGCGAGCCCTTTCTGTTAAACAGCCCAAGTTTATCCTTTAAAGCAACTGGCTTTATTACCCCCACAGCCCTTTAACCACTTCCACTTCCCCCCTAATCTTTGAGTCCCAATAAAACCCATCATTAATCCCCCTTCTCTCTCCCAGCGTGACTACTTGGACCAGTGAGTGAAGATTGCTTTTCTGGAAAATGAAAATGAGCCGCCTGAATAGAAGCAACACCCAATACATGAAACCTGCACAATATCCAAAACCCATGCAAGACAGCAAAAAGATAAGATCAAAAGACACTCAACACAGATTCCATCCCTATAAGAAGACTGTTTGTAAAGGGAAAAACCAAAGAACTCTTAGAAAAACCACTAAGAGTTTCAACACCATAACCCAGCTTAAACCACCCACTAACTTACCAGAAACCTTGAAAACCCATATGGAAAGGATTCAAGGTAAGAGAGAGTGCAGCTGGTCAAATAGTGACAGCTCATCAGAAGATAGTGATGAGGACATGACTAGCCCTTACAATAACCAGCCAGTACCAGAAGTAAGGCCAAGAGCACAAAGAGATCCAATAGTCCAGCCAAACCTCTCACATGTCCCAAGCAGAAGAGAACATTGGCAACGATGCCTTGTAGCTGTCCTGAAAGACTTCAGAAAATTCTCAACTCAGACTTTGCAGAGACATATCAACAGGGAATGGAGGCTAAGAGGACGAGCCACTGTGCTTGGAAGAGAAGGTAACACTTACCTTATTGAACTCACAGAAGATATTGACAGGAATTACGCCATACAGGATAGTCCATGGCTGCTTGATGGTGCAATGTTGGTGACTGATCCATGGAGACCAAACACAGCGCTCAGGAATGTGGAAATCAGATATACTCACATGTGGGTTCAACTCTGGGGAATGCCCCTGGAATATTTCCAAGAAGAAATTGCGGTTAGTTTGGCTACAGTCATTGGACCAGTTGAAAGAGTGGACTGGGACAACAGAAACATTAGATTTATGAGAGTAAGAGTATTAGTGGATCTCACTAGACCACTAATTCCAGGCTGCTGCATGGTTAGAGATGATGGGGTCTGAGAAAGGATCAAATTCAGATATGAAAGGATTGTGAAATTCTGCAAGCATTGTGGGTTCATTGGCCACACCCACCCCCACTGCCCTCATACCAACTCTGAGGTTGAAAGGATGCTCAATGAGCAGATGGAAGAAGTGACTCACAATCTGGGGCATGGCATCATCTATGAGGTGAATCAGAACCACTTCACTGATGACATAAGGGCTTACCATAGGAGAAGACGCATGAGGAATACCACCATCATATACAGAAATGGCCAGAGACCCAACCAGGAAGCTGGGACCTCTCAACAAAGACAAGGAGCAGGGGAAGGAGATCATGAGATGGCCCCAGATGAAATCAGACCACAGCAACATACTCAAGAAAACAACAATGAGGAGAGGGTGCAACAAGGAGGAAATCAAAAGCCTGATATGCAAATAGCACCTGCTGAGAATGAAAATGTCTTATCACAAGGGGAACAACACCACCAACAACAACCAGAATGGGAACAAATGCCAAATCTGGAAGGTACAAATGATAATCTTGCACCCCTACCTGTTGTGATACTTAACATACCTGCAGATGAATATAAAGAAAACAGGGCAATAGCTGAGATACTTGCCCAAATCTGAAGGGGATCACCAAGAGATATCCCCACCACCGCTTGATATCATTGTAGGGCCCATTGAGCAGATTGGAGAACCACAACCTGAAATCCAATCACATCCAACACAAGTCAATCATGAAGAAGGACTAGCAGAGACAGTTTTTGCAATTTGGCAAGAGCAACAAGCAAAGATAGATGAGATGTTCAAGGGAATGAATCAACAGGGAGGAGGCTACCTAGATGACCTGCTCCAGAGAGTCTATGGAAACTCCCACATTCAGCCACCAGACAACACACCAAGATGGATACAATTGCCTAGTGGTGATCTCCTCTACACCAATGGAAGAATCACATCCAATAACAACCGAGACAGACCAGAAAGCAGTTCTATGTAGAGCTGGCAAAAGCTGACCCGACTGCGGGTATCCAAGCCGACCGCCCGAAACCAAACCCAATCCAATCCGATTTGACCAAAAAAGTCAACAAACCCAACCCGCCCAACCCGAAACCGAAACTGACCCAACCCAAAAATGACCCGAATTTTTGGGTACCCGAACCCGAAATGACTCAAATCCAAACAACCCGAACCCGAAATTACCCAAACCCAAAATGACCAGAACCCGATCAACCCGACAGATTAACCCGAAATGACCCGAATTAAAATTAATTATATTTAAATTGTAAAAACTAAAACTTGTAAAATAATTAGCAAACATTATATATTTGATAGTTTTAATCCAATTTTAGTATTTTACCACATCAAATCTCAATTTCATGATATTTATTGCTAATTTTTTTAGTCTTTGATTAAAAGTTGAAACTATACCATTAATATTGATGATTACAAATAATAGAAATTATTTTATATTTTCTAATTATTTAAATATTTATACTTTAATAAAATATAGTTCATATAAAAAATTAATGCCAATAAATATTTCAATTAATACAATATATTTATAAGTTATATAAGTTTGAAGAGGTAGATAAAATGGATTATAAGTTATAATATAAATAAAATGGATTATATTGTGCTATTGTGCAGAATAGTTCTCAGTGTGTAATTCAATTCAATCCCCAAATTCTCATATTTGTTCAAATTAGGGTCTGACATATTTTAATTTGTTTAATTTAAAAGTTTGCATTTTCATAATTTGTTTAATTTAATGTTTAATTAGTTTTAATTTGAAATAATTTACAATTAATATTCATTAATTAGTTTAAATTAGTTTTAAAACATATGCATTACATATTTAATTTATGTTAATTTAAAATTTAAATATTGCGGTTAATTTAGTTTAAATATTTAATTTATATATTAATCAATGATCATTGGATCAAGTTATTGTTCAATTTTGATTCTTTTATAATATATGTATACTATATATATATATATATATTTGAAAAATAATAAATATTATTAATAATAAGGTAAAAAATTACAACCAAGCAATCAAGTTTGATGTTCTAGAGACACCAAGCTTGGACAAGGAATCAGCAAAAAAGTTTGCATCCCTAAAGACATGAACAAAAGAGACATTGCCTAAATTAGAAATCATATTTGAAAGTCTATTATATTATATATATATATATAGTATAAATCAGAGACATGGCCTAAATATATATATTTACTATATATATTTGTACTGATTAATTAAGACTTAAATCTTTGAGATTGGAATTATCAGTTATATTAATGAAATTTCTTATAACTATTCTATCAAAAATGTTATAACTACAAATGGAAAAGAACTTTTAGTAATCCCGAATTATAAGAATAGAAATAAAAATTAAAAAAACGCAAATTTGAATGACTCGAATCAGATTTGAAACCCGAAATGACCCGACTATTCAACCCGAAAAAATGAATTGTAATGACTCGAACCCGAAAAGACCCGAACCCGAAAACCCGAGGTTCAAACCCGAAATTATCCGAACCGTATGACCCGAAACCGAAAACGACCCAACCCAGAATTGACCCAAACCCAAATGACCCGACATTTGATCGACCCGAACCCAACCCAACTCGAAACCGAAAATTACCCGAACCCGTATGACCCGAAAATTTCTTAACCCGAAACTGACCCAACCCAAAAAACCGAACCCAAATCCAACCCGACCCGCCCATCTGCCAGTTCTAGTTCTATGGGAGCAAGAAAAATGGCAAGAGCTGCCACTAACAGGAGAGCACCATCTTTTGGCATTGAGACAACAATAACTGAAGAAGAGCATTTGGAACTCATGTATAATTTCACTCTACAAGCCAACCCAGAAACACACCTTGAGGCTACTCTTGCAGTGGCAAATGAACAGCAACTTGAACAAAACCAAGAGGGTGCAAATGCAGGAGAAGAAAACTGCAACCTGAATGAAGAAGATTTTGTGAGTGCCTTTCTGGTGGATAACCTAGAAGAAGGAGAGGAGAGGAGAAGCTCTGACAGTCAGAATGAAAAAAGGAAAAGAGAGGGCAAAAGTGACAGTGAAGAGACAGATTCAGATGGGAATAGGAACCTGAGAAGGAGGATGGAGCAGCTTGAAGTAGGGAGTGGAAGTGGCTCTGCAGCTGACAACAACACATATGGGGTGTGGAAGGCTGTCCCAAATCAGCCTCCACAGGCACCATGACGACCTTGAGTTGGAATGTCGGGGGCCTTGGGCAACCCCTGACCTCTTCACATTGTCTTGCCTTAATTAGAAAATTTAAACCTAATATATGTTATCTTATGGAAACTAGAATGTCAATAGAGAAAGCTAGAGTAAAAGTAAGAGACTGGGGTTTCACAAATGTTGTAGGGGTCTCTAGTGTGGGTTTAAGTGGTGGAACTGTACTGTTATGGGACAGTAGTGTCAATGTGAACATCATCACCATGAATAAAAATGTTATCTTTTGTTATGTTGAGTATTAGAAAAAAGGAATGTGGCTCACATGTATTTATGGCCACCCTGAGCTGCAACACAGAAATATAGTATGGGAGCAAGTCAAAACAATGAGCAAAGCCATAAAGAATGATGAAGAATGGATCATACTTGGGGATTTCAACCAAGTCCTCAAAAGTGAAGATAATTTCTCAATGAGAACCAAGATCTGAAGGGATCTGAAAACTTATGGGAATGTCTACACCAAAGCAACCTGATTGAAATCCCATCAAAAGGTCACACATTTCACCTGGACAAACAACAGAGATGAATCTGACTTAGTATGGGAAAGATTAGACAGGGCTTTTGCCAACCCCACATGGATCAGAAATAATGACAAAGCTATTTTAACCAACCTACCAGTCATGTACTCTGATCATGGTCCTATGATACTTCAAATGGACAGACCCCAGAGATACAACAGAAGGCCTTACAGATTTGAGGCCATGTGGGTAACACACCCACAATGTAGAAAGATTATCAGCAAAGCATGGAGCAATGTGTTCAAGGGATCCTCTGCCTACATACTAGTGCAGAAATTGAAAACAACAAAACATGACCTATGTAGGTGGAACAAAACAGTCTTTGGAGACCTGCAAAGAAGAAGGCAGCAGTTAAAGAACAAACTCACCAAGACACAAAAAGAAATGCACACGATAGAAAGTTTCAGACAAGAAAAGGAAGTTAGGCAGCAACTGGAGCTTTTGTATGAACAAGAACAAATCTTCTGGATGCAAAAATCTAGGACAAATTGGATAATCCATGGTGATATAAACACTAAATTCTACCACACCACCACAGCAAGAAGAAGATTGAGGAATAAAATCACCTTTGTAGTGGATGAGCAGGGTTACCAATGTGAAGAAACTGAACAAATTGAATCAGCATTCTTGAATGCATATGAGGATCTGTTTTGTGCAGAAGACAATGTCGATATTAGTGAAATCGGTAGAGAGATCAAGGACTTAAAAGTGCCAATATTAACTGAAGAAAATCAAAGATTGCTTGACAAACCCTTCACAGCTGATGAAATTAAACAAGCCGCTTTTCAATTGGGTCCATGGAAAGCACCAGGGGTGGATGGGAAGCCTGTACTTTTCTACCAACAGTTCTGGGACATTGTTGGAGCCCTCACCACAGCCTCAAGTCTCTCCTTCCTTAATTCTGGACACATGCTGAAGGAGTTAAACAAAACTTTGATAACCCTTGTGCCAAAGAAAAATGATCCACAAAAAGTTGGAGACTTTAGGCCTATAAGCCTGTGCAATGTTGCCTACAAAATTATTGCTAGGACCATGGTTAACAGACTGAAACCTATCATGGATGCAATCACTACACCTTTCCAGAGTGCATTTGTGAAGGGGAGGCTGATCTCAGATAACATTATCGTAGGAAGAGAAGTACTTACCACAATCCAAAGGCAAAGGAAAGGCAAAGGCATGCTTAGAGCCCTGAAAATTGACATGAACAAAGCATATGACAGGGTTAGTTGGAAGTTCATAGAGGCAGTGATGAGAACAATGAGGTTCAGTGACAAGTGGATTAAATTAATCAAGGAATGTATGGAGACTGTCTCTTACCAGTTACTCATAAATGGAGCACAAACAAAGAGCATCCACCCTAAAAAGGGTCTTAGACAGGGAGACCCCCTTTCTCCCTATCTCTTCATCATGTGCCAGAATATTTTGTCATTGATGCTGATGAAAGCAGAAGAGCAACAACAACTGCAAGGCATCAAGATCGCACATAGTAGTCCCTCCATCTCTCACCTGTTGTTTGCAGATGACTGCTATATCTTCATGAGGGCTGGAGTAAAACCATGTAGAATAGTTATGAACATTCTACATACTTTCTACAGAATCTCAGGACAAAAAATCAACTATCAGAAATCCGAGCTCCTCTTGAGCCCAAACAGCAAGCCTAGATACAAGAAATGGATCAAAGGAATTTTAAGAGTTAACTTGGTTGAAAAACCAGGAAAATACTTGGGGATAGAATTTGGGAAAATTAGATCAAAGAAGGAGTTTTTCCAACCACTGATGGATAAAATCCAGTCCAGACTCAATGGGTGGAAGACAAACACACTATCATAGGGTGGTAGGCTCACCCTCATCAACTCAACACTCCAGAGCATTCCCAACTACACTCTGTCTTGCTTCAAAGCTCCAGTCAACATCTGCAACAAAATTGATAGAGTAATTAGAAGCTTCTGGTGGGGACATAAACCTGATGAAAAGAAACTTCATATGAAAAACTGGGATCTTATCTGCAAACCAAAATGGCAAGGAGGGCTTGGTATAAGGAAAACAGCGCACATGAATGGAGCTCTACTAGGCAAACAAGCTTGGAGAATTCTTACAGAACCTGAAGCACTATCAACCAAAATCCTCGTACCAAAATACTGCAAGAAGGAGGACTTCACAGCAGTCAAACCAAAAGCAGGGGATAATTGGTTTTGGAAAAGCATACTGGCAGGTAGAGATATATGCATGAAAGGTGTCGACATCCAAATCTGGGATGGGAAAGATACTGTAATAAAAAATGGAAGGTTGGCCCCTAGGTTAGATCATACCACCGTCAGCAATGATCATCTGCAGGCCTGCAAAATCATGTGCCCTATTAGAAATCAGTGGGTTAACTGGTTAGCTAATATTGTTTTACAGCCAGAGGATCAAGCAAAACTTAAGAGTAGGATCTTCTCCATCATGGAAGGAAATGATAAAATTGTTTGGAAATTTGACACAAAAGGCAGGTTTACAGTCAAGTCAGCCTATTTGCAAATTCTCAAAGAGGAACATGGAGACCTTCAATCAACTACTCAGATTCAAATTTGGAAGAACTTATGGAAGCTCAAAATCCCCTACAAAGTTATCATCTTCCTCTGGAAATTATGCAATAAAAGCCTAACAACTAAAGAGGAACTTCACAAGAGGGGAATTAGCCAGGCAAATGACTGTACCTTCTGCAAATAGAGCCCAGAGACACTTGAGCACCTCTTCTGGCAATGTGATTTCGCACGGGCTACTTGGTTTGCATCTGACCTAACAATAAGAACAGATGCATTTATCGATGTCAACTTCACTGAATGGGTTAAAGTCTGGCTATTAAACGATAACACTATCAGTGACAACAACAGTGATTTCAGCAGCAAATTTGCATTCCTTACCTGGAACATCTGGAGAGCGAGGAATGAAGCCATTTTCGAGGGGAAAAAACCACACCCAATGATAGTTGTTTGTAGAAGCAGAACCCAAATTGCAAACAAAGTGGAAGCCTATGCGATTCATAGAGAAGAAGAGAAAATTAGAATGAGGAAACCAATAGCCCAACTGAATCAACTCACAAACGGTGGAGGAACAGAGATTTCAGAATCAATTGGAAACCTTACAGAAAATGATTGGATCATTTTTGTGGAAACAACCCAAAAAAGAGGATCTGCAGGGTTTGGTTGCTGCGCAATGGCTAGAAATCGGGATGGAGATACCCACATCGTTTGTAGAACCTTTGAAGTGGAAAAAGGAATCGACGCCATGCTTCTTATTCTCAGATCTATTCTTGTCAGATTAAAAATCTATGAAAAGGCAGACTTTGGTGTCAAGAAGGCAATGGGAAGTGGAGAAGAATATTGCAGGGGAAAACAATTGTAGGATGGGAAACTTACCCAACCATGGCGGATGTGGAAAAACTCAGTAAAGATTTCCAAGGCATCTTTTTCTTTAGGGAACAAGATCCCCTTGCGAGAGAAACGAAGAAACTAGCACAGGCGGCGGCATGGAAAAAACTATCGCTCTCTTGGCCTTAGATCTGCTTTCTTTATTTTTTATGCCTTTCTTTTCTATAGTTTATTCCTTTGTTTTCTGTGCAGGACATGTTTGGGTGTCCGTGTTTGACTTTGTAACCCTTATATGCGCTTTCTTAATAATATTTCTTGCCTTTTAACCAAAAAAAAAAAGAATTTTCAGACAATAAAAAGTCAAAATCTACAATGTATCAACATTGGTCGGAATCATGTCCACCTCTATGTAATAAACTCTCTTGTTGATAGTAGTATTTTTTTTTGGTACTTTTTGATGATTACTTACTATCTTATTCTCACTGTAATTTTAAAACTTTACAAGCAATTCGGCCATAAAAGAAAACTTTACAAGAAATGTTATAAGATTCATGAATATATATTAATTAATTATTACTAATTGAAATTAGTTACTCTTCCTATCTGGTAAAGTAAGGCTTATATACTCTTTTGCCTCTTTATCTTTTTTCAAAGACTCAAATCAGTCCTTTACTTTTTGTTAAGACAAAAGTGGCTTGGACTAAATAATCAATTCAAGATATATCGTTTGCCGCCGCGCGCAATTGATGATATAACATTTTAAGAATATAAGTTATAACATTATCGATTTCAAGTAATTAAGGATAAAATTAAACATTGCTATGTTAACTAACTACATGGGGCTAAATAATCAATTCAGGATATAAGGTTTGCCAAAAAACGCAATTCAGGATATAACGTTACAAAAATGCTAATGAAGGATATAACGTTTCCAGATCCGATCAATTCAGGATAATTTTGGACGGAAGGCAGCGTTTGTGTAACACGCGCCGTCAACTGTGCCACGTAGGATGCCACATGTATTTTTAATTTAAATTGAAATTTTTTATTTTATTTTATTATCTTTTTAATTAACTTTTTGTAACCTTATATCCTGAATTGCATTTTCAGGCAAACCTTAAATCTTGAAATGCATTTTTAGGCAAACTTTATACCCTGAATTGATTTTTAAGCACAAAACAGATAACACTTTTTTTGGCTGAAACAAAACAGATATAGCTAATAACATTAATTAATCAATATAACTAAACATTCAGTCATCATAACTGGTTCTCAAAATAAAACAATATCCCAAAATAGAGTTGAATTGTTGGAAATAATTCCAAATCAAAGTATGAATTTGAACTGCAGCATACCAAATACAGTTTCAAAATCACAAATTCTAAACATTACAAAAACAACAACTAATAAATATCATTAGAAATATCCCAAAATCAGAAACCCCCCTTCAGAACAACTTTTCCTTGCCCTTCAATTCCTCAGTCCATGGAAATTACTAGCCTCATCGAGAACACTGAACTGACCAGTTCTTGGTGGCATGGTCAATATTTTAGGGAGTGGCTTGGCCTTTTTCTTCTGAACAGTTGCATGGTGAGAGGCAGAGGCAGAGGCTGGGCCAGATGTAGAAGCAGGGGCTTGTGGTGATGGAGCTGAGGCACTCACTTGGGTTAAAACAGTTGCAGGCATGAAAGGAATGGAACTTGCTGAAGCAGAAATATTAAAGTGGGTAGACATAGTTTAAGGATTGGCCCCAGATCCAGAGAAAACAAATTCACCAGAAGTTGCAATTTGAGCAGATTCACCACTTGTTGAGGCAGAAGCTTGCTAAAGTGTTGATGATGGTTAAGTACAGTTTAAGCTTTGAGTAAATCCAAATCTGGTTTGCTCACTCATCTCAACATGTATTTCCTGTCAAAAAATGCAAAAAAGGAGAAATAAGAGTCTTCAATACAGAAATGCAGAAATAGAGAAAGAAGAGTCTTCAATACAGAAATTCAGAAATGGAGAAAGAGAAAGATATGGAAAAGTGACCAAACAGCTAGCTTTTTCAGAATCTTTCCTTTTTATATTAAATATAAAAAGGACAAAATAGAGGAAAATTACCTCCAAGCCCTTCTTAGGGCAGTTTTTGCTTCTTTTATTGTGGCCTTGTTGTGTACATGCACTGTAGGTTTGAATTTGGCCCTTCCTTGACAAATGGGTGTCATCTTTTGTGGGCTCATCAGGCTTTTTCCTCCTTTGAGTTTTGGGCCGGCCAGGAACCCTTTTAAAGGGTGGCGGTTGGATGGGCAGTTGGTTGCCTGGTGCTTTGGGCCAATCTGCTCTTCCCATCATAGGCTGCAAAACATTTTCATAACACCTCATGTAAGTGGAGGCATGAAACCAACTACTAACATAGTCTTCAACTTGTTCTCTTTTGTCTTGGATGGCACATATGGCATGTGCACACAGTATACTTGATAATGTATACCTCGTACAACTGGTCTTTTCAGCCAACTTAACAATGTACCTATCCTCACCATGCTGAATCTCATAACCACCACGGCCATTGAACATAACTTCACAATAATTAGCAATCCTTGAATTCTTCTCAATGACATTCCAAATTCTCTTACCAAGATTCCCATTCCATTTGCTGCATCCCTTGAGCTTTGCAGTTATCCTCTCCATCAACTTCCTTCTAATTTCTTCAAATAAACTGACTACAGATAACCTTCTTGCCCTAAGCAAAGAACCATTGAAGGCCTCAGTGAGATTATTATCAACAATCTCACAGCAACTCTCTTCCTGGAAGAAAGCCCTGCACCATCTATGATGAGAAGGGGCAACTTTTACCAAGTCTTCATGTGCAGAAGGCCCTTTCTTCTTCAATTCATCCATTGCTTCATGATACCCTCTCATGGTATTGGCATGAGCTATCTTCCAAAAGCACTGCCTCATCTCTTCTCCTTTAAAACCTCTATGATAGAAGTTTACATAAAAATGCCGAGCACAATATCGATGCTCAGTTGGTTTAAATAACTTAGTTAAATAGTAAACAACTCATTCAAACTAGTTAAATACTATACAAAAAGATTGATATACGGTAGAGACTGCAAATAAAAAATTGTTCTTTTACGATGAGGTAATATTATATATATAAATGTATTGCAAAAAAATATTTTCTTTCTTTTTGAAAATAAAAATTAATTCGATTAAACTTATCTAAAATTTAATGCATAATTTTGAGGTTGTTACATGCGGAACAAGTATCATGTAGCACAAGTATCTGGTGATTGAGCTTTCCAAAATGTTGAAATACCCAAAAAGTATCAGAGCACAATGTGAAACTATCTTAAACTAAATAGGTACATCATCCATAGAATATGTGCAATGGGCCAAACGTTTATAGTACACTTAGGGTGAAGCTGTTGAAAGTTAATATTTATCATTAGACGAGGCAAGACACCTCTAGGCAAAATGGCCTAAATACCGAGGAAAATATATTATTCGTACAAATGGCCTATTAGTACTGTTCTGAAAGTAAATATTTTATTTTGAGAATATTTTGGTTAATATTACAAAAATATAAAGTCAATATTTATCATAAGCTATTGAAAGTACATATCTATCATTAGTTAGACATGTATGTCATCATGTAATGCCAAAAAATAAAAGACATGTATGTTATCATGTTTATCTCTTATTTTATGAGTTCTGAAGGAAAATATCAATTAATTCATCATGGTGCTTGACACATGAAATTGCCATTATGAATACAAATGGGAAACATGGAGGAAGCAAGATATATTGTTTATTTGGAAGTGCATGACATATGCAATATTAAATCCATGTTGATCAATGGCTTTGGAAAAGCTACTATTGTTTCCATCAAATGGCATAACTTACCATATTAAAAATGATAGATGAAAAACAGGCTTCAATAGCATTTTATATGAAAAAAAAAATCATAATATAATGTAATATATATATATATATATATAATATAATATTCCATGCCAGGGGTAGATGTATTAAGGATTGAGCCTTCAATTACTTAATTTCATTATTATTCTCTTACCTAATAATGTTAAACTATAAAAAAGGTAATATAAACTAAATTAGTTTGTTTGTAATGTTTAACATTCTTAATTTAACCAATTAATATTATATATATACTTGATCTAGCTACTTTCTCGTTCTATTACTCTAAAGTAGCGTTTGGTTCGGGTTAATGACATATTACCGTTGGTAGTGACATTACTGCCAGTAATGATATTACCGGTAATGCACCAAAAGTTGTTTGGTTCGCCCCCTCGGTAATGTTGGGGTAATGACATTAACCTGTTTGGTGTGGGGTAATATTTTTGCACCTAAAATGTATAGATTACATAAATACCCTTTATCATTTACATAAAATTTGCCAAGGGAAACAAAAATTTATATCCTGCAATTCTAAACAAAATATAACACAATTATAATGTCTTCAATATGTAATTCACAAATATTGATGAACAATATGAAATTAACTTCAACAACAAATATAAGATAAAATTAACCCATTTTTGCAGAAATATTTAAACATCCATATAGAAATTCATGTTCTATTGGCTAAGACATATATACCATATGTAAATGTTAGCCAACTCAGAATTTACAAAAAAGGCATACTTTGCCAACTATGAATATACCAACTAGCAAATGTTTGTTAGCAATGGTAAACTATTAGATATTATCAATAAAAAGAATGTTTTTGAGCCTAAAATATCATCAAAATGATAGCAATTCCATGTCAGATTCATTCCCCCTACTACTAGAACCTGTCAACAGAAGCTGCACTCTACATATCCTTGGAAATATCTCCAAAATCAAAGGATGGCCGGTAAGGATGGGCTTCACACAGTTGCTTCACAACATAATCCCTTCTTAAGACATTTGGCAACCCAAAGAAACTGTCTACCTTGTGTGCATCTTTGAGAATGTGCTCACCAGCATCCATGACTTCTTGGTTGGTGAATCCACCCATTTGCATGATTTCCTCAAAGATGAGCATCC